ACGAGTATTCTGCTCTGCTGGTGAAAGACAATAAATTTTGCATGTTCTGGAAAACACATAGATAGGTTCTTATTAAGAAAAGGGAAACAAAATAAAGTCTAATGACATCCCCAAAGTCCTAGAGTTGGTGAGTGATGGAATAAGAACTAGGAACTAAATATTCTGACTCCCTGTGCCTTTTTCATCCGTCGTTAAAATCAGGGCAACCAAACAGGGGCAATAGCAACCACTGTAATGAAAGGAAAAGCTAGGGAAGCTGTGTGTTTAACCTCGTTGCTTCGATACAGTCCAAGGCAGCATGAAGTAGAGGACAGAACAGAGATTCTGGAGCCAGACTACCTGGCTTTAGCCATTTATTGGCTGTGTAACCCTCAACAGGCTACTTATTTTTTGTGTCTTGGTTTTCTTATAGTAAAATGTGGATAATAATAGAACTTATCTCACAGGGTTGTTGTGAGGAACACGTGAGTGTTAAACCATGAAAAGTGCTTAGAGCAGCATCTATATAGTAAATGGTCAATACATATATATCTCCATGATAAGATGACATCACAACCAGATTATATGAAGTATAAGAAGTATAAGAACATCTAATCCATATGAAGTACTTTCTGTGAGTCAGGTACTGTCCTAAGCACACTGTATACATTACTCAGTATTTCAGACCTCAAGGCCCATGTGATTAACCATCGGGTTACATTTTCTTCTCACGGTGAAGAGAGAAGATGGAGAACAAGACAGTCTTCTTAAATTCTAAATCATCTTAAAGCTGGTCTTGAGTACCTATGTGAGAGTGATTACTCAGAGCACCAAGAGGTAAACACTACCTTCAAGGGTGGTCCAAGTAAATAACCACCCACCAGCTGTAAGACGTTAACACCACAGAGTAACATTTGCATTTGTAGACAAAAGCTGTACTGAAACTGGATACATCTGATAAACTTTATGATTCAGGTTTTTTTCTTGTTCTGATTAGGTATAATACATGTTTGATCGCTTTTGGGGAGGTTTTTTTGTTTCTTTTCTGTTTTTCTTGTTTTGTATTGATGAATTAGCATAATGAGGTGAAACATGCCTCAAAACTTCTTTAGGAACTAGGTCACTAGTCAGTATTAAAGCAACTATTAAGTAAACTCCAATCATAACCATAAGTAGGTACAATTTATATATCTATTTATGTATAACATTTATTTGCATTATGTGCTAAGAACTTTAAATGTTATTTCATAAAATTCTCAACAAACCAATAAAGGAAATATTATTATCATCTTCCACTTTACAAATGAGGAAAGTTAAAGAGATAACCTCACTTGATCAAGATTTGAAAACATGTAAGGCATTGTACGAAGCCAGAATTGAAACCCAACTCTGAGTTCTGACTCAGAAAATTTCCTAACTTAATATCTCGTGCACGATGGGTGGACACCTAAACTGAGGTTTTGCATGAGAGGCCACTCAGGAAGTGTTTGTGTAATAAAATATTACTAGCCATTTAATATGTGGAAGATGAAAGTACACTCCTCTTAGGCCAAAAGAGTTTCTCAGATTTAGAGCCTGAGGATATGCTATATGAATAGTTCCAGAATCAAAGTTGCAGATTCTGAGACACTATTTGGTCACCAATAACAGATTCCTGAGACACAACTTTATCTCAAGTGTCTCAAGTTCAGAAATTCTGCAGTGTTGGAGTATTCTAGTAAAAATAATTCACAGACCTTCAGACTCTTCTGTTACTCTGAAGTCCTAAGTAAGTCGTTGTAAGGTCAATTGTGGAATCATGCAAGTAACTCACATATTGACCAGCTAGTCACTGATCATCACTCAGTGCCTACCAGGTACCAGGCACTTTCTATACATCATTACATTTGCTTCTTACAATAAACTTACTTCTCCCTAATTAACTGAAGAGGAAATTGAATAGTTGGATAATTTGTGGAAGATTTAAACTCAGGTCTGGCAATATCAAAGCCTGACCTTTTACCACCATTCTTAAGGTAAAAAAAAATCAGAGGACTTTGCTGTTCCAAGCAGCTTGAACTCTAGGGTAGCAATTTTCAACCTTCCTCATCTCATGGCACACATAAACTAATTACTAAAATCCGTCAGGAATCCAAAAAAAATATGTTTTTTGCCAATCTGACAAAAAAATAAGTATAATTTTGATTCATTTACACCAGATGGATATTGTTATGTTGGCTTTTGTGTTTTTATTTGATGACCTAAGGGAAAAGAGGTCAGTGCCCCTGACTAAATAGTCAGGCAGTGCATGTTTTAAAATTTTTTGTGGCATATCAGCTGAAAATCACTGCTCTAAGGTGATGAGAGGATCTTAATAATTGGAGGAAAAGAAATGTGGGAAGGTCACGGGCCTTTGGAGGATATGGGTTCTCTTTCAGGGAAAAATAAAAGAACATTTACGCACATACCCAAATACTTATATACAATTTCATGGATTTACAGATCCTGTGTAAGAAGACTTGTTTTATAGATAAGAAGACAGAGAGGGAGAGAAAAACAAACAATAAACAGACGCACTTAAACTTTTTTAAAAGCCAAATCACAAACATGTTCACAAAGAGTTGTAATTGTTTGAAGGGGAAAAAATTATAAAATAAGTAGAGGTGACTGAAGTAAATGGGGAGAGGTTGCAAAGGACTGGTTTCAAAATATTATATCAAGTTAAGCACCACTTCAGAATTTTTAAAGCAAAAAGAGACTCGATTGTTTTCTCAGTCCAAGCCACCACTACTAAGAGTTCACCCATTCAGTAGTTTGGCTGAATTCTTAAAACATGGATTAGATCACAACCACTAATCACCCTTGTGGCAGCGGGAACAGGATAAAGAAAATGATCACAAGTGAGGTTTAGTGGCTTTTCCCAATAACCTATCTGGCTAAGGCCAAAATCAAAACTCCAGCCTCTATGTGAAGGGCATAGGCAGAGAGGAAGGTCGTCGCACAAGATGATTCCCATTTCACCTCCAAGAATACACTGTGCCCTGGGTGTCCAGCCTCTTGCAAATTCATCTCAATAGACACGAAGTTTATACAATATTGTAATTTCTACTCAGTCTCTACAAATTCAGACAAAGAGAGCCAGGCATAGATGTCACATCTATGGATACCTACAGACTTGAAAGATATTTAAAGCTTAAAGTCAAATATTCTGGAGCAATTTTAATTTGTGGTAGTAAATACAAGTTATGGGAGTGGAACTAAGAAGTGTAATGTCATCTGGCTCCAGAGGCAGGACGTGGCACTTCTCGTGCCTTGGAAGAACAGCGGCCCGTGCAACCCCTTGATGAACTGATGTGCACAGTCATACAAAATAAGAACCAGCTTTGGGCATCAAATTTAACATTTTTAATTTTTAAATGCACACATTAAAATAAGCAAACTCACCACTGCAAATGTTTTCTCTTCTGGAGCCATAAGAGAACAAGAGAATTCAAGTTCAACAAAGACAGCAAAGAGAACAAAACTTTGTTCTGAAATCTATAATAAAAAGTATACTCCATTGTTTTAGCATTACTTTTTGTTTTAATATTACCTCATTACACTAATGAAAAGATAATTTTCCCATTTATTTAGAAGTGAAATCTTTATTATGGTAACTCAGGTTTCCAAAAAAATCCATAACATAAACCCTTCAGTGAATCTCTCAACTCATATTTTCAAGAAATTTCATTGTCATAAACAGCTGAGAGTTCATTTGGTATTTTGCCCAGCTGCTCAGAAACTCTGAACACCCAGTGACTGAATTATAACTGACTTCGGAAAGAACACTATGTCCTGGTAGCCTTATGTAATTTGAATCAAATCAATCCACTGAGTTGTTCATGGACATGACATTCCAGTTGATTTTAATTATATATTAAATATATTAATTAAACATTAAATTAAATACATATATTGGCCTGCCTTTTGATGATGTTCAATCATATATGACAATAGCACATAGTAAATATTCACCTTTGTTCCCTAAATGTTTTTGTAAAACAAAGTTTCTATACCAGAAAAGCCCAAATTCATCAAGGAAAACATCTTCTAAATCTTACTGCTGCAAGCTCATTTTCTTAGACTGTTATTATACATAATAAGAGACTTGATTTGACAGCGTCTATAATAACACATTATAAATTTTACATTGGATGTGTTTTTTTACCTTAAACTCTTGTGATGGCAAAACCATTTTTCTCAAAGCTGATTGGTTGTGCAGGTCTGCAACAGTGCTTAAATGTGACCTTGCTCTCCCAAGCTCTTCCAACAAGGAGGAGCCTTTTTGATACCGAACATGGTATCTTCATGGAGACTTTGTTTTATTATTAAGAAATAAATGTGTCTTTCTTCTTGAAATCTCTCTGGCTTCAGCAATTTGTAGTCATTTCCACTGTAGAGTCTTAAGAATATACGTCAAAGACAGGCTAACAAAGGTCAAGTAAAAGTTATTTTTTAAATATTGGAGCTTCTAACTGGCATTGGGTGAGTATTAGTGATTATCAGCATAAATAATATAGAGCCAAAAGTAAACTTAACTCATAGGTGTTCATTGACTTCTTTATTGCATTCTTTGATACTAGTTGTATAATCATGGTTTGCAGATTGATCTGATAAAACTTGAAACTCCTTGGTTTATTTGGTGTTATTTGTTTTTCTTATAAGTTTTCTTCCAACCTACTTACATCTCAATTAACACTGTGATGTTGTACATCTTCCAATTGAGCAGTCAAGTTTTGTCAACATTGCACTAGAAGTATCTCAAAATACAGCGCCCAGGTCATTTTCTCTCTGATTTAGTTTCTAGGCTACCCTTAAAACAACAGATTAAGCTTGATGTTTAAGACCCTCTAATGAGAGTATGATTGGGCAAAATAATTAACTATACATGTGCTGCCATAGAATGGAAGTGTTGCAATTCATTTTGTTTCATTTCTATATTTGATTTTTTCTCATGCCAAACCATCTTTTTCTTAAAGGCTTATGAAAATTTTGGTGAAAAAATGGTGCTGCTTCAGTGCAGACATGGAGCCTCTTTTCCTAAGCTAGATAACTTGGTGAGTATTTTCATTTATACTTCCTAATACACACAGGTTACATATCAAACTAAATATTGTCAAAAGTACACTTGAGGGGTTAAATCACTATTTAAATATATCAGAAGAAACAAAGAATATCTGAGTTGACAGCTAGGAGAGAAAAAGTAAGAATTTACATAGTCATTGTATTCCATAGCAATCATTATGAGGGCTATTTTCTGTTTTAAAAAATAACTAATCATAGGCTTTCATCTAATCATGAACTTTTAGAGCTGGAAGGAAACTTAAAAGTCATCCAACATAACGTATTAATTTTACAAAAAATAGAATGAGCAACATTTTATATTTGCAAAATAAAAGACCACATCAAACTACATGAGTGTGTAATATTATCAAGAATATAAGTGACAGCTACTATGGAGATGGTAGAAAAATTAAACATCCAAAATTTCCCCAAAATCTTAGGCCATACTCTTAGAAAGTAGATTTAGAAAAAAAGACATTCACCAATATTCTCTTTATTAGTTTCCTTGTGTTACTGTAGGTAATACTAAACACACTAGCTTCTTCAGTTGTTATTTTTAATTCTCTACAATGTTATGATTTTGGAAATCTTTAATTAGGGGAAAAGGCATTTACGTGTTACTACTTCTGTTGTTTAATTACACTCTCCCAATTTCTCTAATATATAAAAGGTAATTGATTACACCTAAATTCTAGGAAACTGTTGAAGTGTCTTTTAATTATATTGCTAGAAAGCAAGCAGAAGGATGAGTATTGGCTCAAATCACTACTAGATGCATTCCATGCCTAGAAAAAAGAAGCAGGAACAAAAGGATTGAAAAACTACCTGTGTCTATATGCTGGTTACTATGCCGGGAATTGTGTTGTATCTATTACACCATGAAAATAAATCATTCTGATTAGAACATTCATTTTCCTCTATCATATATGCAAATAGAACAGTTTTCTTAAAGAATTAGCCAAGGAAATGCTTCAGAATAAATCTCATTCAAAGATGTAATCACAAGTTCTAATTATACAAGGCTTGCATAATTAACTAAAGTAGGATAAATGAAATCCATGAAATAATCTCCAAGCTGCATATATGTCTACAGTTTCAATGTTTCCCTCTATATGTTTAATCAAAGTATCTAACAGAGAGATGAATTTTTTAGTTTTGCTTATGTTTTTCTATTTCTCTGACCAGCCCTTGAGCAGAAGTGATTTTTTAAAAGATAAATGATAATAAAGAAATAACAGTAGAGGAAAGAAGAAAAGGCTAGGATTCTGGAATATTCCAACGTATTTAACTAGTTTCTATATAATTAGATGTTGTCTATTGGCCCTTAGAAAGAAGTTCAAAGTACTGATTTTAGAGTGTGTTTTCATTAAAACTGAGATTATTCTGAATAATAAATATAGTCAGACATTACTATGCCTTTCTAAACCAGGCTAGCAACTAGAAATTCAGAACCAGCAATATTCATATTTTTCAGGTAAACTCCTAATTTCTAACTTCCACATTCCAGTGCTATGAATCATCTTTCATTTTCTCAAGCATCAATTCCCTCTCTCTTCCTCTCTCTCTCTTTTGACTTTGACCCTTTTGGCAGTTTAGAATAGCATCACATAATAACTATCTAATAGTTTCTTAATGTAAAATAAAAATGACAGCAGAGGCCCTTATCACTGCCTATTTCTGCATTCCCCTTGACAGACAGACAGGTGGGCTAGTACCTAAGTAAGTTCAAAGTACCCCAAGCAAAATTATTTCAGAGTTCAAAAATAAAATCTGTTTTTTTATTTCAGATACCAAGTGGAAAAATGAAGATTCTCCTGGTCTTTCTAGGTGTACTTGGTAATTCTATTGCTATGCCAGTGAGTATTTTTAAAAATTTTAGGACTTTTTTGCGTCCTATTTTTACATACTTTGTAGGAAATTATTGGGCTTTTTTCAATGGGTAGTCTGAATTTGTCATTGATATTCTTTCACTTCCAGATGCAAATGCCCCGAATGCCTGGATTTAGCAGTAAAAGTGAAGAGGTATGTATGTTTAGTCTCTGGGGTGAAGTTTTCCAGAGCCCTGTCCTGAGAGTTCATCTAAAAAGGGAAATATTGGAAAACATTCTGATATATAAATTTTCTTATGAAAGAGATAGAGGAAGTGAGATTGGAAAGACTTAAACTCTAAAATCAAGGCAAAATAGTAACTTCCCCATCATCATCCTACCTATATGTTTCAATACTCCTTTTCAAGGTAAATGTGAATTTGTGTTACATAGATAGGTTTTTTGCTAAGTTTTCAAGCTAGCAAATGTAGCATTTTGTACCATTTGGCTGTTAGAAAGTAGACACTTAAGCATATAAAAAACTTTTACATGACTCATATCTAGGATCATTAGCCAAATTCATCACACTTCAGAAAGGAGAATCATCTTTTTATAGAATTATCACATTCTCAAATCCTGAACTCCAAAAGAGTACCATAGAATATTCAACAACTTCAAAATAAACAAGATTTTTATTCTCTATTATTCTACATTGATTCTTCTCAAAATAAAATTCTGAGTAAAAAATTAAAACCCCATAGAAGCTTTTAATTGCATATTTTATTAATAACCAGTAAAGTATATTAGGATTCTTGTACCTTAAAATCAGAAATTCCACTTACGGATTATGATTTATGGATTGATTGAATTAAAATATTTCCATTGATGGATTCCTTTGGTTACAGATGATGCGGTATGGTCAATTCCACTTCATGAATTCCCCACATGTAAGTGATTATTTCTAATGATTTATATTATTTCTGATGATTTCTTGTTTATATACACATGATTACATTATAGAGTTTGTGTTAGCTAATAAAGACAACAATAGCTATCTATACACTTTAATTATAATATAATCATTATAAGAGTTTCAAGGGGAAGAAATAATTTCACCTCTCCCCTTATATCAAATTTTCTTCTTATTTGTTGCTATTGTTGTTTCAAATAAATAAAACTCATTTATTAATTACAAGTATCCTTTAAATCCAAGAGAAATTGGTTCTGGGAAAAAATCACACAAAACATATTCACAGATAATGAGAACAAAAAGTAGCATACTAAATGCTCAGGATGTGGATTATCTTGAAGGATAGCACCAAAATTATGAAATAGGTTCTTATTTTATTTAAATAAATGTAGATGATACCACTGTGTGTTAATTCTTAGTACAGCTATACATGTCACTTTTGACTTGTGGCATAATTGTAAAAACCATTTTGGTGGAAAAATCAAGAACTTCATCAATTTTTTTTTAATTTTCTTATTCAAGTCATTCTCTTTTAAAGCTCCTCACCTAAAATTATTATCATTGTCAACTTTCTCATCTTCAGCTACTGATTGGACTAACTCTTTTAAACTCATTCTTGGTTTTAGTGCCTTTGCTTGTAATGTGAAATGTTCACCAACTTAATTGTCATAAAATACTGCATCTCAAGGCAAGATTTGCAATTTCACCTCCCTTCAGTCCACATGGCATTTCACTGTGTTGTGTATGTATCATCCAATAGACAGCAAGGGACTAATTAATGAATACTGGGAGAGACACTGGTTTTAGCCAGAGAAGGAACACTTGAATGGGAATTGATGTTGTAAGACGTCAATTCATGCATTAGCATTTTCTGATTATAACTACTTTTGCTTCTCTGTCAACCTAGTAATTGTGGAGATTCTGATAATGACAACAGAATTCACCGGTAATAAAGAAGCACAGGCACCATTAAGAGTGTTCACACAAGCAGAATTCATCTATTCTTCTCTCTCTCTCTCCCTGCCCCTTTCCCTCTCTCTCTCACTTGTTTTTGTTTTGTTTTGTTTTTTTAACAGCCTTGCTTTCTTGATCTTTTTTTTGGTTTTCTTCTTCTTTGTCCAGTCTCTACACGCCACAGGGGTTTTGAATTTGACATCAACTTCCCTATAATCTGACTTATTCACTTCTTAGCTGTTAGGCCTTCATTCTTAAACTGAAATTTCTCACCCATTTCAGCCTTTTGCTTGGTTTGGTTGGTTGGTTTTCTAGAAGACTGAATGAAATTCATTTCTGTAAGATAACATTTAAAAGAATGCTAGCTGAAGACCTTGACGTGTTGTTAAATTCCGTAGGATTTTTAAGATCCCGGGCTGAGGGTAGAGGTTAACACAAGAGAGTCGGGAGAACTGGAATCTCAGCCCTCATGTGACCTTACTGTTATTTGCTACCCTTGCAGCTAGCACAACTTGGCCCCTTGTATGGATATGGTACGCAAATCCCTCAGCTCTTCCCACAGTACCAGATGCCCATGTGGCCCCAGCCACCACCCAAGACAGGGCGTCCACGGAAGCCTTCATCTCCTTCAGCACCCAAACACCAGAGCAAGACTGATCAAGCCCCAGAGACCCCGAAACCCGACCCGCCTCAACCAAAAAAGCCACCACCAAAGCGGCCTTTGAAGCAGCCACCCCCTGCCCCAACTCCACCCCAAGAGGAAGCCCAGCCACCTCAGGTGAGGCTTGTCCAGCAAAATTCCAAACCAAATCGTGTGGCCTCAAAGTGATGGGAAGGCCTTGCTCCTCCCACATACACGCTGCCTTCAGTACTGCTCAGTGCAGGTACTGCTATGGACAAAATTGTTAGTTTTGACATTTTCTTCCAAGGTGATGCTGTCACCACCCATTCAGGACTGCCTAGTGAGTCAATTTTGGTCCTTGTTTGATTAAAAATTACCCAAAAACTCTTGCCTTGAAGAAACTCCTTTTAAAATACAGAGGTAACATGAACACTAGTCGAAGACTCAGGGAAAAAGAGATTCGAATTTTACCCTCAGCCCTTATTATTGTATGAGCTTGAGCAAGTCACTTCAGCTTTCTAGACTCCAGGTCCCCTATTGGAGAATGAAGTGATCTCCAAGTCCCTTCCGAGATCTATGTTTTGATTATCAAAAATGTTGCCCTGAAAGGTCGCACTGCTTCCAGTACTCCAGGATGGTCCTGACTTAAAGCAAGAAAATGTATCAATGGTTTCTCAAGATCTCATCTAGTGTGGGGCTTCTCAAATGCTGTCTTTTAGTCAATTGACATTTATTATCAGACACTATTATAGAGGTAGAGAATACAAAATTGAATGAAAAGACTCTCCTGGATTTGAGTCCTGGCTTCAATCATTTACCAGCTATGCAACTTGGGGCAAGTGACTAACTTCTCTGAACCTCAAATCTTAAGTGAAATAGGAATAATACTAGCACACATTTTCTCTGGTTATATGAGGATTAAATAAGCTTTCCATTATAAAATGCTCAGCACAATACCTAGAACATGTGTTCAATAATACTAATTGTTATTATTATCATCTTTGCCCTAAAATTAAAAATCACAGTTTAATGCAAGATGTAGACTCCCAAGTTTCAAATAATTGTAAGTACTAGGTTTGTTTTATTTTTCATTTCTTCTCATTTCCATGTCGCTCTGATTCTTTCTTTCTTTCTAGCCATTCCCACCATTCGGGCATGGAATCTTTCCCTACCAACAGCCACCATGGCAAGTTCCACATGTGAGTTTTTTCCTTTACAGTAGAAGTAAAAAATAATATTAGCAGGTTATATCTCAAACTACTATGAGTTTATTCATGCTAAATGGACTGCTATGTGTCAATCAGTAGAGAATATGAAACAAAATGATCACATCAGTAATCATGTAGGAAAACAAAGAATTTTTAAGTAAATTTTTTAATCAGGTTGGTGACATGAACACAGCTTAAATCATTAAACAACCGCTAATAACTTAGTTATTAGTTAATGAATTAATTTTAAAGGTTGTCCTACTCTATTACCATTCCCTGCCTCCACAAGAGGTTAGAAAGCACAAAGATTATCTTAATTTAATGTAATGGGGAAATTGGAACAAAATGGAGTTTGAAAATCATAAGTATAATTAGACAAAGATCTTTCCATCATATCTTATTTATAGCCACTGATATTTCATTATAAAAAATCATACAAAATAATATTTAAAAGAATCCTTTAAAGTTTAAAGTCATGAAAATAAAATATAATATTGACATTGCATCCTGGGCATTAAAAAATGTGAATTGCAAAATAAACCATATGAACTAAAGGAATAGTGAAGGCCAGTTGCTGTTAAAGTAACAAAAAAGGAGAAATATTTTATGACTTCCTTCAGCTGTGGCATTGTTTTTTTTGTCTATGACTCTTATAACCAAGAATCCTTCTTATTAACAAGGAACAATTCATTTCAATAAGAGTTCCTCAGGGGTTTTTTTCCTAAAAGAGTTACTCTCTTTTACTGGCCATATAGAACTAAGGAAACTAAGGCAGGACCAGATGAATATTTAAAAAGCAGATGAACATGATTCTCACATTGAGGTAACTATTAATTTCATTTCCACAAAATTTCTTCAAGGTCTATGGAAGTTGAACTGCTTTTTTAAACCCTCCTAGATAGACACTCAGTCTTCAAATTTGATTAGAAAAACAAACCTTGGTCAAATAAAAATATAGTAATAAACCAGGAAAGAGTGTCAATTTTTCACCCTAAATGCGAAGTAGACATTCTAAAATTAGCATCATTATTTACTCTTGATTGTTACACCCTCTGACATGGATGTTTGGACCCTGATGGCACTCAACACTCTGTGCGTGTCTGTGTGTGTTGAGGTAATGGGGCTGGATGGTTGCAAGGAGATGATATTTTAAGTGGGATGACCTAGCATCCTTCTGAAGCCTTTGTATTCACTGGCATTCACTGATCAGTTATAATTATAGTTATTAGTAGCTGGGTTTTAAGATGCCTCAAGTCTAATAAACAAATAGCAGCACAGAATGTGATTTTCTCTCTTATATTCACTGTGTTTTTCACCTTTCAGAGGGTACCACCAGGTTATGGTCGTCCACCAGTCAGCAATGAAGAAGGGGGAGTAAGTACACATAAAGCTACATTCCCCATTAAGAATTACAACCTTTTAGTCTCTGTTTTTTTATCCCTACCTAGTAAAAAAGTTAAAATCCCAATGCATGAAACTATAGCTCAAGTGTCCAAGATACAAGGAAGAAAAAGTGAAACAAATCAAGCCAGTCACCTAAAATAAAATAAATGTGATACATTATTTCTCCTCTACATGTATTGAAATCTTCCTCCTTCCTTCCCTCCCTGTCTCTTTCTCTCCCTCTCCCTCAAAGAAGGCTAACCTGATAGCCTATGCCCCAGGTGGATGCTGGACCCTAGACAGTGATGGAGCCACTAGTAAACAGGGAAGGAAGGAAGAGCATCTTAGAATGTTATCCCCAGAAGGGAATTAAGTAATCACCTAATTCCCTCATACTAAGGCCCAGAGAAAATAAATCACTAATTAATATCACCTACTGAGTGGAAAAACGGGACCTAGGATTCAAGTCTTCTGACACCCAGTCCCATGACTTTTTTATTACACCACACTAGGAAAAGAGCCAAAAAGCAAGTCACAGAGTGATATACTGTTACTATATTCTAGCACTGTGTCATCAAAAAAGTCATTGTAATGTGTATGGCACAAGAAGTGTGTGAAATGAGAACAGAAGAATGAGGAGGATAGAGGATGGAAACCTTCAAAAAACTTAGGTTTAGAATCCAGGCCCAGGAAGAGAAAGCTGAGAAGTAATGGTCAGAAAGTGCAAGTACCAGAAGAGAAAGCCAGAAGGGAGTGGGGTCATGGAACCCAAGGAGAAATGAAATTTCAAGAAAGCAAGCATAAGTCATTAGAGTTAAAAGAAGCACATAGCTGATAAGATTCCCTATCACATTAAAAAATTCCAATACCATAGAGGTAAACAAAGGGTAATTATCAATTTCCATCTTCTTCCCTACAGAATCCTTACTTTGGATATTTTGGATATCATGGATTTGGGGGTCGTCCTCCCTATTACTCAGAAGAGATGTTTGAACAAGATTTTGAAAAACCCAAAGAAGAAGACCCTCCAAAAACCGAGAGTCCACCTACCGAACCTTCGTCTAACTCAACAGTTCCTGAGACTAATTCTACCCAAGCAAACGCAGCCAACCCTGGCGGGCATCAGGGTGGAAATGACACCAACCCAACAGGAAACAGTGGCCAAGGGCCGAACACTGTGGGCAACCCTACAGCTCAGAACGGGGTCATCCCACCACCAGCAGTTAATGTTTCAGGCCAGGGGACATCAAGAAGTCAAATCCCATGGAGATCAAATCAGCCGAATATTCGTGACAATTACCCAAATCCTAACGTTCAAAGTTTCCCTGTGAGAAGACAATGGCGTCCCCCTGGCACCTCCATGGGGCACCGACAGAATTGGCCTTTTTACCGAAATCAAGTCCAAAGGAGTCCTCAGTGGAACTCCTATGCTTTGGAAAGCAAACCAGCAGTTCGTCCAGGAAATCCAATGTATCGCAAACCTTATGCTTCCACTGCAAGAGGCAATTCTCCCAATCTTGCAGGAAATCCAACAAATTTCCGAAGGAAACCTCAGGGACCAAGCAAACACCCTGTGGGAACCAACGTTTCCCCCGTGGGTCCCAAACATAGTACTACTGTTGGCCGCAATGAAAAAATTCAAAATCCAAGAGAGAAGCCATTAGGTCAAAAGGAAAGAATAGTCATTCCTACAAGGGAGCCAACTGGCTCCTGGAGAAACTCTCAAGATTATGGAGTTAATAAATCAAACTATAAACTGCCTCAGCCTGAAGGCAACGTGCTAGTCCCAAATTTTAATTCTATTGATCAACATGAAAACTCTTATTACCCAAGAGGAGATTCCAGAAGAGCCCCAAATTCTGATGGGCAAACCCAAAGCCAGAATTTTCCCAAAGGGATTATTTTAGAACCAAGAAGGATCCCATATGAATCAGAAGTTAATCACCCAGAATTAAAGCACAGTACATATCAGCCTGCATACCCTGAGGAAATCCCTTCCCCTGCAAGAGAACAGTATCCTGGTGGAAGAAATACTTGGAACCATCAAGAAATCTCTCCGCCTTTTAAGGAAGATCTCGGCAGACAGCAAGAACACTTGCCTCATCCTTCCCATGGCTCTAGGGGAGACAAGTACTACCCTGACTATAACGCTTTTGATCCCAGGGAAAACTCGCCATACATTAGAGGCAATACGTGGAATGAGAGAGATGATTCTCCCAATACTGTGGGACTACCAGAAGAGCCACTGTACCCCATGAATACGCCAGACCCAAAAGAAACAGTCCCTTATAATGAAGAGGACCCAATTGACCCAACTGGAGATGAGCTTTTTCCAGAACAAAGTAGATGGGGTGTGGAAGAGTCAAGCTTTAAAGAAGGCACCACAGTTAGGCAGTACAAAGGTGAGCAGTATACCTTAAATCGGCCAAAGGAATACCTTCCCTATTCCTTAGATAATCCATCAAAACGCAGGGAAGATTTTCCTTATGGTGAATATTACCCCTGGAACCCAGATGAGAATTTCCTGTCATATAATACAGCTCCACCACCTGTTGAGAACAGGGGCTATTATGCTAATAGAGCTATTGGGCAAGAAGAAGGTACTCTGTTTCCTTCTTGGAACTCCTGGGACCGCAGAATAGAAGCCCAAGGGCAGAGAGAAAGAAGGCCATATTTTAACAGAAATTTCTGGGATCGGCCAACAAATTTACACAAAGCCCCCATTAGTCTCCCACACCAGAAAGAGAGCCCGGCCTATTCCAACTCCCCAGCTGGGCTTCAGAGAAATCCAACATGGCATGAAGGCGAGAACTTGAATTACGGCATGCAGATTACTAGGTTAAATTCACCAGACGGTGAACATTTGGCTTTCCAAGACTTAATTCCTCCAGGTTACTCAATAGGTCAAAAAGAAGCACATTTATTTCACCTAAGCCAGAGAAGCCCTTGCTGTACTCGTGCCTCCATTGGACACAAGGACAATCCACTTGCTCTACAAGACTACACTCCATCCTTCGGTCTGGTGCCAGGGGAGAACCAAGACACCAGCCCTCTGTACACAGAAGATAGCCATGCAAAGCATGCAAGACATACTGTCTCCCCAACAAGCATCCTACCTAGCCAAAGAAATAGCTCAGAGACAAGACAGTCTGGAGAAAATCAAAACCCAACTCCTTTTAGAGATGATGTGTCCACTCTGAGGAGGAACATGCCATGTTCTATAACGAATCAACTGGACCAAAGGGGAATCATGCCCTTTTCTGAAGCCAGTTCCCTTCAATCAAAGAATACACCTTGTCTCAAAAATGACCTTGGAGGAGAAAGAAACAATATTTTGGAACAAATATTTGAAGGCAACCAGCTCAATGAAAGGACTGTTGACCTTACTCCTGAGCAGCTTGTTATCGGGACACCTGATGAAGGCCCCAAGCCAGAAGGCATCCAAAGTGAAGTACTAGGAAATGAAGGTGAGAGGCAGCAACAAAGACCATCTAGTATCCTTCAGTTACCATGCTTTGGCTCCAAATTAGCCAAGTATCACTCCTCCAGCACTGGAACTCCACCTAGCATTGGAAGGCAAAGCCCATTCAATGGGGATTCATTAATGCCTACTGAAATTCCTAACTCATTGACTGGGTTAGCTACTGGGACTCAGTTTCAAAGTATAAATGTAGACCCAGTTAATGCAGATGAACACACTGCATTTGATTCCCTGCAAATAGAGACCAATCCACAGGACCAGGTGCAAGACTGCTTACTACTTCAGGCCTAGGGATTATATCAACTGAGTATTCTTTGGAGAAGAAAAATACATGACATCCTACACTGGTTCTCAAACTCCCCCACCCCACCCCACCCCTAAGACTTGATTAAGTATCTGACCCTCTTGATGATCCTTAAGTTTTTCCCCATTCCAGCGATAAGAGTAGTAGCCCAGGTGGTCTGATGAGGTTGGGTCTCTGGGCGTCACTCTATCCAGGGATGTCACTATTAGCACAGACCTTTAAAAAAAAGCAGGAAGACTATGACCACCACCACCTTGAAACTTGGAAGCCACTGGTCAGGTTAGTTTCCCTTTGCTTGCTGATTCTTCTTTTTTCTCTCAAAGTTCTATACTTGCAAAATTCTCTGGTTTTGCAAGACAGAAAAGCAGATAATCTTTCCATTTTATGTATGGAGATCTATATGTCAGTATAATCCTGATGATTGTACATTATTTTCTTGTGTTGGTGTTTGTCAGTGTTTTGTTTTGTTTTGTTTTTCCCTAGTTAATGTTCTCTTCTGACATTTTTTTCTTCCTCTGCCTTTTTTTTTACTTTTATCATTTCCTTTCTTATCTTCCTTCTTTTATTTCTCTCTCAATTATTCTATATTTACCTTTCTATTTTTTCCTTTCCATCTTTCTATCACTTCTTACATATTAAACTATCTTTAACCATCACTAGCCTTTACATCTACCTTTTCCATTTTGACTTCCTCTCTTCCCACCTTTCTGTTCTGTCTCCTAATGTGTCACTTGTCAATCAATCTCTTTCTCTGACTCCTTTCTTCCCTTCAATTTATCTTTCTCTTTTCTGTGTTATGTTAATAATTTAAGACTACATGTTTCTCTCCCTTTATTGTATCTTCTCTCTAAACTCTTATTTTCTTTTTCTTGGCCTCGCCTAACCATAATTTTAGAATATATTTCAGGAGTAGTAGACACTGGCACCTACTTTTGTTTTTAATATTCTTAAGTTCTTTACCAAGTAGACACAGCTCAGTCAAAGGAGTACATTCAAGGACAAGTTTAGGGGAAGACAGTCTAGTTACCCAGAACTAGTAGTCAGGGAACAAGGCTTGGGAAGGTATGTAGGGAAGGACTACCACTCTGTGACTGAGCATCCAGACCAAAAAAAAAAAGAAAGAGTAGGATTTGCCATTCCCCATCACCAACTCATCATCTGCAGGATTTGGGAAACACTGTCCTAATCAAATAAGGGAAACACTCAATGCCTAGTTTTCTTTAATAGTACAATATAAGTGATTCTAGCAATATGTGCTGCTAGTAACATAAAGACTTTTATTCCTCATGTTGTGGTAGAATTATTTGCAGACACACTTTCTTCATATCTTGATTAAATAGTGTAAATTATTTTGTAAAGTAGACATTTGTCTTCTTAGAATACATCTAGGTGTTTTGTTTTTATTAATGGCATTTGGCCTACTATCTGGATATTTCTGCCTAGAGAGAAAGAATTCTCAGAATTGTCTTCTAACTCTAAGGAATTTCTTAGGAGAAAATTTCCTGGGACAGATTTCATAAGTAGATCTCAGAAATTTGGAAAAATGCAATGTTGAAAACTTCCTGAGGAAATGAATCTTGTCCTTTCAGTCTTATAAAGTTCCTGGCACAGTATATTGCACGTAGTAGATACCCAATAAATATTTACTGATTGGCTGATTTTTAAAACAGCTTTTAAAGCTCCCATGAAAATACAGCAGTGAGCTTTTCCTGCTGGTAAACCACTGGGGATGCTGAATGAGCCACACACTCTGTAGCTTAATATACTCAGCAACATTTGCATTGTAGAATCTCAGGGTAAGAAGGGATCTTAGACGTAGATTATCTAGGCCATCCACTAGTTGCTTAAATCCACAACCACCACCAGTTTTATATTTTAATCATTCGTTGAGAAATCATTAACTTATTCTATATAAACTGTCTCTTACGAATTATCCTCATCAAAATAAAATTAAGTTTTATGTTTCACTACTTTTTTTAAATGACTTTTTAATCTATATTTGAATGACTTTCACTGTAAAATACTGTTTCACTTCAATATTTCTTCAAAATGTATGGATCATACATTTGTTTTAGTTGATATGTTGACACATCTTCATCTGTGAGTCACCACAACTTAATTGATCATCTGATCAACCTCTGTAATGTAAAATATAAACACACCAGTGGCCAAAAACATCTATTAAATTTGAGACTATAGAGGGGAATATATCCCTGTGGAAAATGACCCTTCATTTCACACAAGTATCCTTGCAAACCTGATACCAGGTCTGAGTTCCTTACAGCAAAGGAATAATTCTGTGTGCCTTCGTTAAGTTATTGATAAAGCTTTGAAAGTCAGCTCTGAAGTAAGGTGCACACAGTAGGAGTGGCAGGCTCTGAGGTGATCCCCTCCTCTCTCTAGCACACTCAGCCCACTGCCATGGCCCCATTTCTATGGCAAGTTCCTACATCTAGTGGCCGTCACCTGCTAACTTTTAAATGGCGGGACACATCCTGGTGATGATAAAGTAAATAAACAAGAAGAAAACAACCCTTGATGATGACAACACAGGACATAATCTAGCAAGGCTAACACATACCTGCCTTAATAAGCATTTCTGTCTCACAGCCTGTAATAGATTTCTCTAGAGCAGCAGTCCCCAGCCTTTTTGGCACCAGGCACCATTTTCATGGAAGACAATTTTCCCATAGACAGTGTAGGTGGGGATGGTTTCGGAATGATTCAAGTACATTACATTCAAGCTCACCTCTTGCTGTGTGGCCTGGTTTCTAATAGGCCTGAACCGGTACTGGTCCACGGTCTCAAGTTGGAGGACCCCTGCTCTCGAGGGTAGTTGGTCATTGATCCACTTGACTGGGGGAAACCTTAAACTTTTCCAATTTAAGCAGAAAGCAAAGTAGCGTAATGAAATGTAGGGTCCAGCCTCCTCTGAAAACTTAGCCTAGCAGCCATTATCACAAAGGTTCTTCTTGTGGCGTTTTGAATGCCCTGAACATATTTGACTTTAATCATTTACATCAGAGTCTTAAATTTATACACCTTTAAAGAAAATTCACAAGACGTGACCTTTGAGTTACTTTTATTACTTGTTTTGACATATCCCCATCTGCTTCCGTCATGACCCAAAAGACCCTAAAGAAGATTCTTCTTGCCCCCAGAAAACCAAACTTCATTGCTAAAAACCAAAAAGGGAACCAGAAATGTTGGATTTCAGATGAACAACTGTGACCTTCCTTCACAAAACCTCAGAGGTTTCACTGTGACTCAGACCAACTGCCCAATTAAAACTCAGAAGAAAACTGCACTTGATGGAAAATAGGTAATCGCTATTTCACAACAGAATAGAGCTTTTGGTTTTGTCCACCTGTTCTTCCTTAGGCCAGTAACATCAGCCACTAGACCTCTCTCTCTCCCTTTGAATTCATAACCAATAAGATTTAAAAACAGGGTTCAGCTGGTAAAAAGCACAATTCCATTCTGTTTCAAATAAATTCTTCAAATAAAGAAGGAGGAAGCTGAGCTGTAATTTGACACAGATGCTTATTTAGCATCTACTTTGTGCTCAGCACAGTTCCAGACGCTATAAGTGATACATAAGACAAATATGAATTGAGCTTCACTTTTTAGGAGTTTTCTTCCCCCTAACATAGGCAGAACTAACACAGGGGAAAAAATCATCACATGGTATAAGACAATATGTGATTGAATATAAAAGATGATGTGCTATGTGATCACATAATTGTGAAATAGACGGAGGAGCTCTCAAAGCCCATCACTTCCCCATTCAAGTCCTCTGCACTCAGTGTCTGTTATTACCTGCCTAAGGACCTAGCATCCTTTTTTCTGTGCTTCATCAAAACTTGGACAGTAATTTCCTCTTTGGGTCTTATCCAAACAACCATGCCTCATTCCTTTCCACACTGTACAAAGCAGGTATTTGCTGTGATTGACCAGGCAAACGATTTCTGCTCAAGTGTTGGCTAATGTGTAATCCTCCCAAATCATCCGCCATGCCCTTGCACACCGAGTTCAACTCATGGTATATGCAGGAAAGGATAATGGTAGCAAACGTTGTTTGGGGTGGACCTTGTTAGTCCCTCAGCTGTTAAACCACACTGGCAGCTGCCCCTTTTACTCAGGATGCAGGCTGTTTCTGACAGTATTGCGTGTTCTATTCGTGTTTCTCAAGCTTTAATGTGCACATGAATCTCGTTAAAACGCAGACTTTGATTCTGTGACCTGGAGTGGGGTCTGCAATTCTATACTATGAACATGCTTTCAGGTGATGATGAATCAGCCAGTTGGTAGACCCAATTTGGAGTATCAAAGTGCTAGGCTATTTTTTATAAATAAGGGAGAACACACTCACCAGGAAAGGAACAGAAAGGTCTTAACCACTGAAAAATCTGAGTATCATCAATTTAGGGGCACGTGTATAAATGAAGCATGTAAGTACAAGGTTTGCCAGAAATACAAAGAGAAAAAGGAGCAGGACAATCCCGTCTCTATTTCTACATTTATGTTACATTTCTTCCTCTCTCTGCATGGCTCATGTAGGTCTAGAAAGTTCTACTTCCATCCATGAAATCCCTATTCCATTAATATTTCCTCCAAATTACCCCAGCTTTCCTGAAGGTTCATAGCACATCATCTTTTATATTCAATCAAATATTATCTTATATCATGTGCTGATTATTTCCCCTGTGTTAGTTCTGCCTATATTAGGGGGAGGAAAACTCCTAAAAAGTGAAGCTCAATTCATATTTGTCTCATGTATCAGTTATAGCATCGAGAACTGTGCTGAGCACAAAGTAGATGCTAAATAAGCATTACTTTTTCTTTCAATACATTTTGTAAATGTATTTAGAAATTTCCAAATTTTAAAATGATCAATTAAAAATTAATAAGATAAATATTTTTCTAAGTATAAAATACACACTCTTTCTGGAATATTTGACACATACTGAAAAGTAAAAGGGAACAAAAATAATATATAATCCTACCATCCAAAGTTAATATTTTGACCTATTTTCTTTTAAATGTGTGTATTGGAAGGATCTTTAAAGTGCTTCATTTATGAAATATTCTATTTTCTCTTTTCACAATATATAAACAATTTCCATAACACTAAAATTATTTAAAACTTCATTTTTGTTGTCTGTAAAATATTCTGAAATATACCTACATTATTGTTCCCTTTGACAGTGGACTTAAGGTTTATTATGAATTTTCACTCAAATAAATAATGCTCTAATAAATAATAAATAAATATCCTTAGGCATTTTTGTCCATATTTCTTATGTTCTCAGAAGTGGAATTACTGAAGGAAATGGTCTGGAAATGTGTTTTAGACGGGATAACATACTGAGTGAGAGCAGTGGCTTTGGGGGTTGACAGTCTTGGATTCAATTACCACTTCTCCATGCACTATTTTTAAAACCTTAAGAAGATTACTTCATCCCTTTGCATCTCAGTTACATCATATGTAAAATGAAGATATTACTTATTTCATAGGGTATGAGGATTAAATGAAACAAAATGCATATGCCTTGTGCTTCATAAGTGAACCACTAGGTGGAGATGGAGACTTATAATTCTAAAGCAGTGGTTCTTAATTCCCAAACAGCAGCTAGGAATTTTTTGAGAAACGGACTTGCTCCTGAGGCATCCCAGAACTACTTAATCACCATGGGGGAGGGGAGGGGTTCAGCAATCTGTTTCAAAGAGTCCTCCACATGAGCCTCATCCATTTTAAAGATTGAGAATCAGTAATTCAATATGTTCACATTCTTGTCTGATCTGTTGTCTGGGCAGAGAGATGTCAATTAACACACAATGACAACTACTCTACTGAAGGTTACAGAATGCTACAACAGCTGTACTAAGTGGTATACACACTTTATGGCATGTATCCTTATTTTCACGAAAAGCTATGAGATAGTTATTTTCCCTATTTTCTATCAGATTGAATGAACTTGCCCTTAGTGACTTGTCATTTAGTCACTAAATATAGAGTCTGTATTCCACCTAGCACATGTATTCCACTATACACAGCTGCTCCAAAGCCAAGACCTGGTAATTTTCCTATCCACTCATCTCCATCCAGTCAGGGAGTTCGTACATGTCTGGTTATGAGTGTATATACATCTGTATTTCTGTGACTGCAGAAGCATAATTATGATTCCTTTTGAATATTAAGTTGCATAAAACCATTCAAAATGACAAGTATTCAGTCAGAAAACTGAATATTTGACTTGGATCTACTGGTTTTTAAGGCCCTGGCACAAGACGAACTCTTTTTTGTTATTAATTAATGTAATTTTTCTCTGGTTCGTGCTGAGTGTGCTCACTTAAGCAAATTGCTAAGAACTATGCGGAAGGAAAACATTCTCACCTGTAATACCCACTTATGCCTGTCTTTTTGAAATATCCATTTAATTCAAATTAAAAAGGGAGGACAAACAGAACAAAAATAATTGACTTAAAACAGATCCATGAATTGGTCACATTAACCTCAAAATGCCACATGAACTGTAAGAAGATGTTATAGCAGACATAAATTACTAAAGAACATCTGTTGATATTTGTTAAGGCTATGGCAATGATTGAGTTTTCATTGCCATTTACTGGATGAATGAACCAGTCAAATGTTAAGTATGCACTGAGTTCATTTTCTCATTAACAATATAAAAGTAAACCCAAGAGTTATTCTGAGGTATAAAATGAGATGACATAGGTGAATCATGTGGCATGTAAAGAATGCTCGGTATCAACATCATCATTAAATCAGATACCACATAATTGGCTACTATGCTAATAATTCAGGCCCTCCAGAGGCAGAATCCCAGATGAGATTAAAGATACAGGAGAAGATGGGGTGGGACCCGAGAGGGCTGGGAGAGCCTTCAGACTCTGACTCAGGTCTAACCCATGTTGAGCAAAGAGGGTAGGAAGGAAGGTTGTGTAGGTAATATCTAAAGGCGGTTCAGTGCTAAGAAATTTTCAATGAAGTTGATGGGGAGTCTTCAAGTCAGTTACCCTTCAGAGGAGTGCTGTGTCTCCCAGAAACGCCTGTCCTTGTTTCCTTGATGATTACAGTTATCTTTGGCAGGGAGCAGCCCATGGACCTCATATAAACACAGCAATGGGTACCGGAGCCATAGGTCAAATACACTCCCTGCAAAGAACTGAGAGACTCCTTTCATAGCTGCTTCATCTACATGGATTCCTTAGCATTTCCCATCTAAATCATTGACTCACACAAGCAAATGTGAATAAAACTAACAGGAAGGCTTTAATCTTTCAATAACTCTCGTTAAAGAGCCACCAGCTACTCTGGATTTATATTGAATGATTTAATGCTTAATAATGCACTGATCGATGCCTGGGAGATGGTGAATGCTAAATTTTTATTAATATGATGGTCTTCGAGTTTAAATGAACTTCTGGAAGAAGGAGGATCTACAGGACTATCAGTTTGATGCACTCATCCAGCTGGCATTTAAGGAGGCGATAATGCTGCAACAGGAATCTGCAATGTGGTAACAAAAACTTTTTCTATTGGGTACAGAAAAACAAAGACAGAGACAGGAAGAGAGCAGAGGAGCCTCTCCAGAAAAATCTCCCCCTAAAAGTTCTTATCACAAGGAAACAAAAAAAAGTTTGTAACTCTGTGTGATAGATGTTAACTGAGCTTATGAACACTATGTTTGTTGGGAGAGACTTTGTCTTTTGTTTGTTCTGTTTTTACTGATTTTATTTTTTTTCATTATGATTCAGTCCCCTTGTACCCCCTTTCCCCAGTAATTGTCTTTTTATTTAACTTCAGTTTTAAATCACAAAGCTACCTCAGATATGTATGTGTCTGAGTTCAGTGATTAATGCATAATTACATCATACTTACAAACTATTCATAAGCAACTGATTATATTTAACTTACATACAAAGAAATTAAGTTTTTTTCCCAATAAATTATTTCACACAGGTATATGCTTAAGAATCTATTTAATTGTTCAAACTGTGTTAGAGAATACATATTTTGAAATACATGTTTTGAAATATGTTAGATTCAGTTACAACATTGATAATTTCCAATGGGAATTTCTTACATTATCCTGATTATCAAAAAAAATTTTTTAATCTGTACCATCTGCCATCAAATCTGTATTACATCAAAACATATTTTTTAATTATGCACTTAATTATGTCCCTTTCAGCTCATTGGTATCATAAATATTAAAAATCCCATTTTAATTATTTTTATAAATATTTCTAAAACATATTTTCCAATCACTTGCATCATGAAGAACTATAATCAACCTGTGTTTACACATCACTTTTCTCTGCACAGTTTTATTTTTTTAAGAGAATAGCATAGAATATGCAAAAGCTCTGGCTCTCCAAAGAAAAGCAAAAAAAAAAAAAAAAAGACAAAATTTAATTCTGTATCCTGATTTTTAACCTTGAGTTTCATTTTTTTTCTTCTTACCTATCTTTTAAATGTTAGAAATTATATTCTTAAGAACATATACCCCAGGATGATAAGACAGTCAACATGTAGAATATAATTACCTAATAAAAATAACAATATTACTGTTTTGATTGCCTTGGAGGAAAGTTTTACATTATCAAAAAGAAAATTATGGTTTCAAATTCATTGGCGGTAAATATATTAACTTTCTGGGTCAAAATGGAGAGCCTTTCAAGAGAAGGAGCTGTGCGGTCAGCAATAAATTAGTCAGGATAGCAGGATTCTGGGGTCAAGGCTGTTTCCACCATTACGGTCTTACCACCATACGAAAGTGGGACCCTATTTGTATAGCACTTGTTTCTGTCATAAGCATAGCAGGTCTCGTCCTCATCACAGATATTGCTCTGGGTGGCAGTAACTACTTGATTTTCCAGTTCCACTTCCGTAGGATCACATTTTTTGCAGCTGAAAAACAAATATACGCATTAGACAATCCCCATCAAATATTATCTCAGCATTTCAGTGATTCTATATTTCTATCCAAGATCAATTAGCTCTGGCAGCTCGGACCTGACAACTGACAAGGTTCGTGTTTTCAGAGCTCAGCTGCTCTACATTACAGAGTAGCTTATGGGATTTTTTTCAACCTTTGATATAAAAATTAGTTGAAAGTAGCCAATATGATATACCATACAGCAATTTCTACTCTGTTAGATTTATTATATGTTGTGTACTAGGATTAAACAAGTTATTCATAGCGACAAAGAAGGAAGAATTTTAAAAAGATAATTGTTTGTTATTGGGTTCTATAGTTTCCAAATACCTGTATGTTAATATGTCTGAAATCCATTTACTGAACTATTAAAACAAATTGGCCCTTCCTGTTCTAATGGCAAATATTTCTTCTTTAGAATAAACCTATAGCAAACTTTTACCTGCAATAAAGTTTCATAAATTTATGATACCAATACCTAATAATTAATGTAAAAACTAATGTATTCTAAAGTACAAATTATATTGGTAAATGTTTAGATCCCAACATATTTTCCAAAACATTCTTACTAACAATTAAATTCTTACTAAAAAATTTTTAAAAGTTAATTTTTAAAAGTTATTAACTTGCATATATTTATTACTATGAAGGACAAATTCTTACAGGTCGGACAAATGGTACACAAATTTGGTTCTCAGTGGCGTGGTGGGATCAGAGATATTCTCCCTGTTGTTCAGAGGAACACTAAAAAAAGAAAGATAAAATGAGTCAAAATAATGAAATGAACAGATATTGCTATTTTTGGGTAATAGGTATATTGCTAGGACAGTGCTTACTCCTTTACATTTGGTACATTTAGCACTCTATAAGATTTATATTAATACTAGTACTCAGATTTCACAGTAATTTGCTATAGTTTAAGCACTTCCCATTCAAAATCAACCTCACAAGAACTCTGTCAATGATCTTTGCTTACTTGGCAAATCTGTTTTCCTTTAACAAGCAGCTCAAGTTTTACCTTCTCTGTGATGTTCATCCCATCTCCACCCCTCAGTAAACACCTTCTTCTGCACCCTCATTAAAGCTCATACACCTTTATTATAACAAATCCATATCATAACTGCTTGTCTACAGAATAATTGCTTCTCTAGACTACATAAGTTCATTGAGGCAAAAACATTTATGTATTCCCAATGCCTTGCTAGATGTGTGGTATATGGAATGTGTTCAATATTTGTGGAATGAATGGACAGATAGTATTAGCCCCATTTTTTTGCGGTGCGTAAATTACAAATCAGAGAGTTTGACAACCTATCCAAGCCTACACAACTGTTGAGTAGTAAAGCTTTAGTTGGAATCGAAATCTCTTGATTTGGTGATTTCCGTGAAAAATCAGATAATGCTTATCAACCAGTTCAGGTGACTTCAGTAACTTTTACATTTTTATCATTATTTCATCATTCCTCCTCATATGTACCCCTCCCTTCTAAAAGATACAAAGAAAAGCTTGTGTTTCTGACTCAGTGTTTAGCAATACTATCCACACAAATGTCCAAGCAAAAACTTGGATACCATCCCTGACTGCTCCCTCTCTGCCATGACCTATATTTAATCCACCTCACAGGTCAACTGATTTTAATTCTTTGCCTCTGTGAAATCCATCCACGGGGTTCAGGACACCTCCATTTCTCTCCTAGCAATACCCTCCTTCAGCCTTGATCCATCCAATACATTAGCCACATTATTGTCAAAACGGCCTTTCTAAAATACGAGCCTTATCTCCTTTCTGCTTAAAACCTACCGTGTCTCCCCACAAACAGCAGGGTACCCTTAATGATATGCCTCTCACTCTCCCGTCTCATCTCTCAGCATACCACCCTCTTTAACTACAGCCAGCTATAAACAGCTTGCAATTCCACAAATTTACCATGTTTGTCTCATCTCCAAGTCTTCACAGTAACAAAAACAGAAACGGTTCTAACACTTACTAAGTGCTTACAGTGAGCCTGGTACTATGCTAACCATGTTACATGATGATCTCATGTAATCCTCACAGCAACCCTGTTTTCTTTTCCTAGATCTCCCTCACCTGCCAACGCTGCCATGCCCCGCACATTCACCCAGTGAACTCCCATGCAGCCAGCTAATCGCCATCATCCACTGCTACTGCGTACTCCAAACATCCTTTTCTGCCTCCACGGCCACTCTCCACCCGCCCCCCAGGATTGGACCGGGTGCCCTCTAACATCCGATGCCTATTTCTGTCATAGCATTTACCATGGTGTATTGTAATTGTCTTTTTAACTGTTTACAGTTCCCTACTTGACTGTAAATTCTCCAATGGCCCCCCAACTCCAGCCTCAGTAGTCATTCATTAGCACTCAGTAAATGTCGAATGAATGAATGAATGAATGAATGGTTGGAACTATACTTTATTAGACTGAAAGGGCTCTAGTTATATCAGAAAATGCTTTAAATATTGATAGTGATAAGAGAATAAGCCTATATGAATGTCTACCATGAGTGAAACCCTGTTCCAGATGCTTTTACACATTATCACATTTAATCCTTACAACCCTATAACGTATATGTGTATATCTACCTACATATTATCCCTTTTTTACAGTTTAGGAAGCAGGCTCAAATTAGTTAAGTAACTTGCCCAAAGTCATATCATTGATAAGTGATGGAGTTGGGAATAATGACATGGCAATGACAATAGAGCTTTCAGAAATGAGATCAGAGAAACTTCAATACACATCAAGTAAAATGGATGAAGTAACTGAATTATCTGAATTCAGGAAACAATATACCATCATAAAAAGAATGGTCATAGACAAAAAGATGAGTTAGAGAATCATGGAGTTCCATTTAAAAATCTGAAGATTTAAACATAAGATAGACACTCCTCTTCAACACCGTTTAGGTGCCAGTGTCATAGATGGCATCCCTTCAAGTCTCATGTGTCTCCAATTGTTCTCTCTCTAATAGGGAGCCAAGTGGTATAGAATCTGGATGGTCAGAGAAAACCTGCTAAAGGAAGTGCTATCGAAGCTAAGACATGCAGGTTGGGGAAGAGTTGCAGGCTAAGAAGGGTAGGAGAAAGCATTCTTCAAGGAGAGGAATAACATACGCAAAAATAGAAGAGGAAGAAAACACTATGAGTGTGGAAAAATAAGGGCACAACAATACTGTTGGATTTTCAAACATGAGGTAAAAACAGCGTCAGCAGAGGAGCTTGAGAGTTATGCTCAGTGTTGCAGGTTAGGCGAAGGCATTTTTAATTTATTGTAATAACAGTGTTGGGTAAACCAGCAAAGGTATTTTAAGAAGCATAGTGACATAATGACAACTGACACATAGGTTAGGTGGATAAATAACAGCAAATACTTTTTGAAAATATGCCAGAAACTATACATTCTCTAAAAGGAATACATTTCAATATATCTTTACAATAGCCCCATGAGATATATACTACTGACATTCAGAGTAGATAAGTGACTTGCATACAAGAGCACACAGCTATTAAGTGACCCAACCAGAACTTGAAAAAAAATTTTAAATGCATATTACTTCTTCTATCGATTAGATGGAATTAAGTGTTACATTGCTTCAATAAGAGGTACTCAATTCGCAGGAAACTATTCAAGGCAGAAGAGTTCACAAAGACTTTCATGGTTGGATCCAATAGGAATCTCATTTCTTAAATATTATTAGCATTTTGGCTATTGAACATCAAGACTCATAGCTTATGACCTGAACTACATGAGAAATGAAATGAGAATCTGAAGTCCAATGTACAGGTGAAGCGTAAATCAAATAAGTCAGTTTGATTAGTCTGTCTTACCATTGTTCAGACAGTTGAGTACTATGTAAAGTACTCTGTAGTCCAGGTATGGTGCAAAATAAGGCCTTTAGTGTTATCTCAAGTTTCAGTCTGAACTAACCGAGAGCAACTAAAAGTGTTGATTCAAAATGAACTAATTCCACATAAACACAGCATGTTGATGACTAGATCTGAACCTTCGGTTATAATCATTTGATCTAGATGACTGGTTTCAGACTGCATGGAAACCTTGTTCCTGCTCTCAGCTTGTACATAATTGGCTCAAGCACATTAACCAGATTCAACCTCATGTCAGGTGCTGCACATCAAAAAGAGGGGCAAAGATATAAATATTACATTCAAACAATGGCTGATATGACAGAGTATCTCTGCTAACAACATGAAAAAATGAAATATAAAATACCACATACATAATTCTGATGTGTCTCTCTATAATGTCTTGACTAGGATCCTCGGCAGAAGGGATGAGCCTGGAAGTCACACGGGCACACTTGCATTTGTTGTTAACAAGAACAGTCCTTTCATCTTCATCTTGGGCTTGAAAGATAAAATGTATTAAGAAGAAATGGAAATGAAAATCTACTTTGTATTGAGTTAATCTTTTTCCCTGCAGAAAAAAAATAATTTTTATGGTTGATCACTTTCAGCTTTCTCCATGTGTTCTCCTTCCTAATCTAAAATTAGTTGAGAAGAATCTTACAGCATAGTGAAGGAAATGCAAACATACTTCAAAGGAATTTCCTCCCTTTCCTTTGGACCAGTCTATGGGAATCTGAACTGAAAGATTTCTGGTTTTAGTCCAGTGCTCCTAACAGAGGCACAGCTCTCTGAACAATGTAATCTTTGTAAAAATGAGTGCCAGCCCTGGCTGGTGTGGCTCAGTAGATTGAGTGCCAGCCTCTGAACCAAAGGGCTGCTGGTTTGATTCCCATTCAGGGCACATGCCTGGGTTGTGGGCCAGGTTCCCAGTAGAGGGTGCAGGAGAGGCAACCACATAGAAATTGATATTTCTCTCCCTCTCTTTCTCCCTCCCTTCCTCTCTCTCTAAAAATAAATAAATAAAATCTTTTAAAAAATAGATTTTTAAATATGAGCGCCAGATGCCAAAGTAAGAGAGAAAACAAAAATCTAGACTGGAGTTCTCTCAGACCAAAGCAATCCATTCAAAAGTGAACAAAAAAATAACATTAACTTTTATAAACCCAGTTCAAGTGTCACATCCTTCCTGAACTCCCATTTATATATACTTTGCTTAAATTTCATCAGAGCTAAGCACGGGTACATTTTCCCCCAAGATAGTCTTATTTTGTAAGACTTTTTAAAAGCTTCCACAACAATTTTCCTAATTAATTATATATTTTTTCATAATAACAATCCAATTATGATAATATAATGATTCAATCAAATAAAATAATAGGTGCTATATTAATATTTCTTAGAATTATTTTTTAAAGTTATAGTCTATATGAATGTGAAGTCCTCTAAATTTGCAAAAACAATTCAGAAAATATTGAGAAGTATAATCACTATTTAATTTAATATGTCCAAATGCAGAAAAAAATTAATAAATGAATGAGTACACAGATGACCATTAAGGCCTTAACTCTGATTGTCAACATTTATTGTCTAATCTGAATATCACATAGAAAGATCTGGTAAGTGTTGCAAAGAATAAACAAAGAAAATGTATTAATATCTGGACTTAGATCAATTAACAGATATTTGGAGAATTAAAAATAACTTTATTTAACATTGCTAATCAAATAATAATAATGATAAGTATCTTTTTTATCCCTATAATATTAGCTAAGCAACCTTTAAAACTTCCTCCCATTAAGCCTGAACTGAAAAAAACAAAAACTTAGCACACAAATTCAAGTTATAAGGGTTAAATGATTGGGACAAATATCACTGTTACTGGAAGTTTAATTATTCCAGAAATGATCCCAGAGCAGAGAGGCCCTAATTGCAGCATTTCAGGCTTACTGATAATAGTCATTACAAAAACATTTTAAGATCATTGTTATTGTACTTATAAATTGTTTGAAGTATTTTATAATGCATTACTATGTCATTATTCATAATTTCTTAATAAATCTTCTGATAAAAGTCTGTGTGGTATTGAAGAAGAAATATCATGAAGTCAGTTCAGGAGAATCATATAACTCTCCCTAACGCTTTTAAGAGTAAGATGACTTAAATGCTGTCATCTTACCTACTGCTGTATTCAGGACTCTTAAATGTTTTTCTCAATAAAATACAATTAATCCAGCAGCCTGACCAAAGAAAAAAATGAAATCAAGTATGTGACTTAACAATTAAGTCTTAAACAGAAAATGTCTATATTTTATTTATGGTATACAGTTTATTTTCTTACCTGAAACCTAGAGAAAAAAACTAACATTATTGTTGTTATATAAAATATTAAGCAGCCCAATATTCCCACTAGAAAATTTACAAATACCTTCAATTCAGCAAGACTTATGATTCTAATATTCTTTCTCACTGACAGGCAGCATTTTTCCTAATAAACCTATTATTAAAGACTGTACTTTACTTTATTCCAAGAGCATCTGAGACATAGTAGGTACTCAATAAATATTTATTAAATTTAATTTAATTCAATTCAAAAAAGTAAGAAAATAGACTTAATAACATACTACATATGAACATAATTTACTAATTATTATAAGGCTATTCTCTTACACAGGCAAAATAGGATAGTAGTTAGGAGTGCAGGCTATTGGGTCAGAGGGTCTGGGTTCTACCTACCACATGATTGCTCTGTGACCTTCGGTGAGATATTTGGCCTCTCGAAATCTCAATGGGCTCAGCTATATGTCAGAAATTATAGTAGTACCTATCCTCAAGCAGTTGTTGTGACAATTAATTAGGATAATGCCTAGAACATAGCATGTGTTCAATAAATTATAGTTCATGTACGTGTATATATGTGCATGTATTTATACGTATGTATAGACACATATACTATACATGTTTTACTATTTATGTTGTAAATATTATTAGAAATTCATCATTCTTGATGCTAAATTAGTATAAAATATATTTTAAATGATTATCCTTAATTATATAATACTCAGTCTTGGATTAAGAATAAGCTCAGTAAATATTAGAAACAATCCAGCCAAATTATATCACTTCTAATTCATGTGCCCTTCTAGATTAAAATTATGAAAATGTGCCTCTATTTTCAGAATGTATTCCATTTTCTACAGTATTTTGAAGGGTTAATAAACAAAATGCCCAAAGTTCAGCCATTAAGTTATAGGTCCTGGAGAACATTAAACATTGTTAAAGGGTCATAAGAAATCTGGAGAAATAAAGTCCCAATGCATTCTATGTTGTACTTATAGTAATTATTACTTCATTTTTTCCTAATACTAAGATATTCAAAGAGAGGACTACTGATTTTTAAGAGTCAATATGTATATTCATATAAGTACAGTATTCATATCAATATTTATCTGGAAATATATTTTATTCAGGAGTCTCTAACCTCCTGGAATCTCTGGGCCACACTGGAAGAAGAAGAGTTGTCTTGGACCACACATTAAATACGTAAACACTAATGTGATGAGTAAAAAAAAAAAAAGTTTTAAGTAAATTTATGATTTTGTGTTGAGCCACATTGATAGCCATCCTGGGCCACATGCAGCCCGCGGGCCACAGGTTGGACACCCTGCAAGATATACTAGTCAGACAAATAAGAGAAAAAGGAAAAAAAAGAATTATGAATCTTGTCTGCATAAAGATCACTGCCCATATAAAGATTAAGGCAAGTTAGAAAAAAGTAGCTAGCTAGCTGGCCAACTAAAGCACAAACATTAATGTTTCACTGAAGAACAAATTTGTGTTATATTTTTCCTTTTATCTGCGTTTATTTTCAAAATACCACATACCTGTCACAAGAACAGCCTTAACAAAAATGGCCAGGACTCCCCAGAAAAGCAAATGGTTCTTCATCTTGCCTTCACTTCCTTTGAAAACTGGAGCCAGAAAAGTCAGGGTTAAGGTGTGTGATCTGTAAGGAGTGAGCAAATGATGGTGCTTCTGCTTTCTTAAAATAACGCTCCAGGCAGCTAACAAACTAAAACCAATCACAACTGTGGCTGAAGTCTGAAATTTTAATGCTGCACTGGAAAGAAACATATGGCTCAGATTTACCTGTCTTCTTCCAAAGCATCCCCCAAAAGCCATGCCTTGATGCAATCACTTTTTATTTTACATTTACTCTACATAATTAAAGCAGAGGATTAATAATAATTTCAAGGCAGGAGTCCATTAAGAATATTTAACTAAGGATTTTCCACTTTATTCCCTAAATAATAAAGTTTACAAATATATATGACATTTGCTGTGCTTGAAACAATCAATGAAAGAGGACAAATGAATTAAAGCTCATTAAGACCCTAATTGTATCTTATGTCAAATTTTCTTCTAGCCCTTAATTAACTAAGCTTCCAGATTTATTCATGTATATAAAATGTAACATATGTAAAATATGTTACATTTTATATGTATGTATATAACATACAAGCTCAAACATGGAATTAGAATTGGAAACAGGTAGATACTAGATATATCAGCTGCCAGATTTTAATTTGATTGCATTAAGGCAGATCTTGTGTTTGCTCATCTAGTAACACCTTTCAGAAGAGTAAACCCATAAAATGATTTTCATTTGCAATGCCTCAACAGAAAACAGAATACTGTAGTATTTGTTGTAACTTTTTTTCATTAATTAGTGCAAAAAAACCCTCCAAAAACAAAAATCTGAGCTTTTGGACAGAGCATCCGCCTACACCACTGCCCCAACATGCTAGAATTTTCTGTCTCTTAGGCAGGCTTGTTCCAAGAGCCGATTGGTTACATTTTCATGCAACATCAAATCTATGTTACTTTTGGTACTTAGTTCTCTAATTTTTTAAGCATCTCCCACAGTTTTTGAGAGGTACTAAAGAAATACTTTAGGATCGTTAAGTAGGCAAGCAGATTTCATAGCAAGCTGTAGAAAACAGCAGAATGAAAGCTATAAAGTCTAGCATGTAATTGCTCTCCTTAAATCAATATGTATGTAAAGTTTAGCAATGTGTATTGAAAGTCAAGCTCTAGAACACACAATACTGTCTAGAACACACTATACTGTCAACATTTACTCTAATTTTAATTTCCACTATCATAGCACTTAGAAACTATTCGGGGTTAAGAAAATACACTGGGTTCACATGAACAATTATACCTAGTACAAAAAGAAACAGACCTGAAAGCACATTATTTTAGGTATGTGGTCAGGATGTAAAAACAAATATCAACCACTTAAGGGCTCCTCATCTTTAACTGCAGTTTCTAAATAACTGATTTATTCCATACTCCAAAAAAAGAGTAAGTAAAGTTAGCTTGATACATTTTTAGAAATTGTTACTCCCTTGAAAGTAAACTCAAGACTAAACTGCCTCCCGAAAACAATTGGATAAATTCTTAGGGTCAAATTAAAGCTTCCCCAAAAGCTTATTTTGTATAAAAGCAAAAGTTACTTGATTCATAAATACTAAAGGAAAGCTCTATATTTGGTGTTCAGATTCTTTCAATCTTATAGTTTTATATTTCTCTCATGTAAACTATGCATCTAAAAAGTTATTTTAATAAAAATAAGGTGTGGAAATCCAAGTGGCAGTTTTGCCACCAGAAGAGTTACCTAGACTTGCAATACAGTATCAGGACCAGTGTTTTGTCAAGTGTGTTCCAGGGATTATCTTCCCTAGAAATACTTGGAGAACTAGTCAAAATGTGGCTTTCCTGGCTACACCCAATCAGAAATGATGGAGGTGTAACCTTGAAATATATATTATTAAAAAGACTTTCAGTTGATTGTTATGTACACTAAAATTTGAAAATTGGTAGACTAGAAGCCAGGAGAGGGGGTGGGGGAATGACTAGCAGCATTAACTATAAAAGAGCAAGAAGTTAATAAAGGTAATTATTAAAGCAAATTTATTTTTACAACTCTGTGATGTAGATAAATTGTTTCATCTTTTTAGAACTAACCAAATATATCTATATGTTGGCTATTATATAGTTATTTGGATATATTCTAACCAAATATACCTGTATATTGGCTATTTTATATATATACATATATATATTCTATAGAATGTGTGTGTGTAGATAGATAGATCCCAATTTAATTTTTAAACCATTTCATGTGCAGATTTTGTTCTTCCCAGTAAAAAATGTAAAATGTGAATAGAACCCTTCCTAAGCAAGTGAACTAATTGGGAGCTTAGCTACATGTTCTAAATTTTTCACCAAAAATGATTTATTTTTTCACGTTCATACATAATATTCTTACAGTAAGAGGTTCAGTGATAGACTCATCTGAGAAAAAGATCTTATGGTAATTTTATCTCACCTTCGTTACTTCCACTCAATTTTTGTTTCAATTTCCTATACAGCAGACAGTCTGAGTTCAGCATTTGTTTAAAAACCACCTAAAATAGGGCAATGCTTCACTTCCTCTGACACAGCTTATTAATATTTGAGATACTCAAATCATGACAAAGACTTTATTCTCTTGGGACATAGAGAATACACTCTCCTTGTTTTCCTGCTCTCATTGGTGACACCTGTCTCTTGCTGAATTTTCCTCAATCCTCAGCCTTCACTTTTCTCTCAGCCTCTCCCTAATTAATTTTATCTGATCCCATGGCTTTGAATATAGGACATGCTATGTCTTTCAAATGAATAATTCTAGACTTTACCTCACCCACTGAGCTCCAGCTTCCTGTTTGATAGCTCCACGTGGCTGTCTAAGAGGTTACTAACAGGTAACCAAGCTAAACAGTACTCTTGAGGACCAAGTCACCCTCATACCACCATTCCAAACTCTTTCTGTCTTTAGTCTTCCTAAATCAATAGCACCTACATCCAACTGGTTGCTCAAGCCAAAACCCTCTTCTTTGATTTCTTTTTTCCTCTTTCCCACATTCAATTTGCCATCATGTCCTGTTGGTTTTATTTCCAAAATATATCCCAAACTTATCTGATTCTCTCCATTTTCATTGCCACCCTAGTCCAAGCCTCCATCCTTTTGTCAGATACTACAATAGCCTCAATGATAAAAAAGTGGTTTTTCCTTTGACCCAGCACTGGCAACTAGGACTCACAGCTGACAAACAACAATAGCGAAGTACCCCAAATTCTGAAGAGAGTCAGGCACATCCTCCAAGGCTTAACAAGAGGCAACAGAACTCAGCTCACTGCCAGCAACCACCACCCCACCTCTTCCAAGCTCCCTCCTCCAGTCTTTAGATGATTTTGGAGGCAAAAGTAGAAGGTCATCACAGGAGCTGCTGACCTTGCAGAAATAGTAGTGTTTGTGGTGTAAGTAGTGTAAGGGATGCTCCCCCCTCTACTCTTCGGAGAGAGAAGGACAAGGTGTTCTCTAAGGACAAGGTGTTCTCCTCTCCTCAACGTCAAGTGACAGAGAGATTCAAGAAAATAACTCGAAGAGATGAGGGACCCTGCAAAAAAGGGAAAACTGAGAAGCACTATAGCATAATAGTTAAGTGAATGAATTCTGAGTCTGACTGCTTGGGTTTATCTCCCAATCCACCACGTACTAGTTGTGTGACAATTTAACCTCTACCTTTTGATTTCCCAACTGTAAAATGGGGATAATATCTACATAGGGTTGCCATGAAGCTTAACATGCATTACTGTATATAAAGCAGGTAGAGCATATGGTATTTACCATAGATCTTGGCCTATGGTAAATGCTATATAAGTAATTACTAATTATTACCAGAGGCATAACCATTAGCTCATCATCATCATTCTGTTGGTCACTCCTTGTTGAGTTGCAGAAAATGAAATGCAAACCCAACCTGAGGATATCAACTCTAATAAAGTTTGAGGGAAGCATTTTCTCTCCTTGGAGAGCTTGAATTTCCCCTTGGGTTACAGGCATGTAGGAACATAGACACCGATATGCACTCACACAAAATGACCCTTATAAGGTATATATGAAAATATTCAAAAAGCTAGAGTAGTAAAAACAGTATATTACTGCCATAAATCAAGACATGTAGACAAATGGAACAGAATCAAGAGCCCAAAAATAAATCCACACATATGGTCAACTAATATATGATTAGGGAAAGAAGAATACTCAATGGGGAAAGAATAGTCTCTTCAATAAAGAGTGTTGGGAAAACTGGATATTCATATGTGAAAAAATAAAATTGGACCCCTATCTTACACCACTCACAAAAATTAATTTGAAATAGATTAAGGATTTAAAAGTAAGACACAAAACCATAAAACCCCTAGGGGAAAAAAAGGGAAAAGCTCCTTGACATGGATCTTGGAAATGAATTTTTGGGTAAAACACAAAAAGCATAATCGACAAAAGCAAAAATCAACAACTGAGACTAAATCGAACTAAAAAGCTCTACACAGCAAAAAAAAAAAAAAAAAGGCAATAAAAAAGTAAAAATGCAGCTCATGGAATGAGAAAATAATTTGCAAGTCATGTATCTCATAAAATTTAATACATAAAATAATAAGAAACTCATACAACTAAGTGGAAAAAACCTGGTTTAAAAATAGAGGACTTGGGTAGGCACTTCTCCAAAGAAGGCATACCTACGGTCAACAAGTAAATTGAAAGGTACTCAACATCACTAATCATCAGAGAAATGCAAATCAAAACCAAAGCAAGATACCACCTCACACCTGTTAGACTGGCTATTACTAAAAAAAAAAAAAACAAGGAATAACAAAGTCTCGTAAGGATGTAGAGAAAAGGGTACCCCACACACTGTTGGAGGAAATGTAAATTAGCACAGCCACTATGGAAAACAGTATAAAAGTTCTTCAAAAAATTAAAAATAGAACTACCATATGATCCAATATTTCCACTTCTGTGTGTATATCTAAAGAACATTAAATCACTATATTAAAAAGATATCTGCACCCCCATGTTCACTGCAACACTATTCATAACAGCTAAGACATGGAAACAACCTAAGTGTCATGGA